GCCAGAAAGACAGAGACAGAGAGACAGAAAGTGAGGAATCACCCCCTCCCAGGGGGAATGGCCACGCTGCAATCTCTTCTCCATTCTCCTCTTGGGATCTTGGGCATGCATGCACACGCGCCCGGCATGAGTTTAAGCCACTGGGTCTGGGACTCGAACCACGGTCCCCTACATGGGAGTCCAGCGACATAGCCATTACACCATCTGCTGGTCCCAAAGTTTGAACTTTTAACAGGTATGAATAATATATAAGCACAGTTTAAAAAAATTAGATAATACCGAAGAATTGAGATGAAACACACATTTCCCTTCCCCCGCCAGTCCTGGTGAGCTCTGCAGAGCTAATGTGGCTTGGTCTCTTCTGCACTCTTTCTGACACATGTACACATGTAGAAACACACGTGTCCTTTAAACAACAGCCACATTCTCCACATTTTTTCCCCTGTGCCTTTTCCTTTTGACTTCATAAATTGTGGGTATCTTTTCACATGAGCATGTCCCAGTCTGCTGGCTGCATGGTGCCTCTTGTATAGCCTTTCCGTCATTTATTGTAAGTGACATTTCAGGAAGTTGAGGGTTTTGCTCTCACAAACAGTGCTGAGTTAAACGTCTTCATGTGGCCTGTGTGCGTGTGACGGTGTATCCATAGGACAAGTTCCTAGAAGTGAGACCCCTAGGTGAAAGTTACCTACCTCGTGTTTTATAATCATCACCGATGCCACCCCACTGCTTTCTGAAGAAGTCCCACCATTCCATGCCCCTGCAGCAGCGTGAGAGGGACTGACTCCCAGAATTGGGTGTTCCCACACTCAGCTTAAATTCTCCCTGTCCTGTTAGGTGAAAAATACCATCTCGCTTTAAAATGTGCCTTTGTTTAATTATAGATGAGGACAAAGATGTTTTTCTTACTTATTGGCCATTTGTAAAATAGCTGTTGGTGTGTTCTGTTTTTCATCTGGTTGTTAAAATTCTGTTAATTTACAAAGAGCTCTTTGCCCATTGAAGAAATGATCATGCGTCCAGCCTGTGGTGTGTGGTTAAAACAGCTGGATCCCACATGCAGACTGCATGGGGTTTGAGTCCTGGACCCGGTAGCTTGAAAAACATGCAAGGCATGCGTGCGTGCATGTGTGCATGCCCAAAATCCTGGAAGGAGAGTGGTGAGAGTGGGATTGCAGCGTGATTTTCCTTCATGGGACGGGGAGTGCTTTCTTGTTTTCTCACTTACCCTCTCTGTCTTCTCCAGCGAGTACAAATGCCCTGTAGCAAATTAAAAAAAAAAAAAAGAAAGAAAGAAAGAAAAGAAATGATCACTTTGTCGTTTTTGTTGAACTTGTTTTTCCTGCTTTGTTATTTGTCTTTTGGTTTTGTTTCTAGCCCTCTTCTTCCCTGATGTCTTTCTCTTCCCTGGTTTGTGTGACTACGCTCCTCGATTGCTTCCCATCTCTCATTGCATTTATTTTCAGGCTCTCTTGTCAGCTTCTCTCCCTGTGACCATCCCTAAGTGTTGCTTTGTCACAGCTGTCAGTCTCTGTGTGCTCTCATCTTCCCGGAGTAATGTCATCCCTGGCCTCAACTCCAGCCTAGTGCTCAGGACTCCGTGCTCTGTCTGCAGCCAGCTTTTCTGTTGACCTTTAGCATGAGGGTGCGGTGGCCCGTGAGCATTGCCGCATACTTGTCCAGCTGCATGTGGCCCAATCTGCAGTCCTGCTCGCCTTCTACCCCCTGCCCACCTGTCCTGCCATCTCTGTCCCTGGCTTCTCTAAGGAGGCCAGGTGTTAAGTCCAGAGCTGCAGTTCCCATAGCCTCTTCCTCCTTCTCAGGCACTCCCTCTAACCCTGACCAGAGTCTTCTAGCTCCTGCCTGTGAAATGTCTCAAGTGTGGCTTCATCTTAATACCATGGTCTACTCTGGGCCAGCCTCTGTCCCAGCTTCCGGCCTGCTGCAAGAGCCCTCATGCTCCCCACCTTTCCAGTCTCCCCTGATTCTGTCTCTGTGCTGCTGAAAATTCTCAAGTAACTCCCTTTTCTTTGAAGGACAAAAACCTAAATTTTGCTTATTGCACAGGGCCCTTTCCTGAGGGCCTTTCCTGCCTTACTCTTCTACTTATCCTTTCGACAGGAACGGACTCCGGCATCAGAAAGAACTGCCATTGACATAGAAGAGAGGGAGCACATTGAACAGTGGCTGGGGATGGTTAAAATATGAAAGAGGGGCCAGCAGTGGCATGGTTGTTAAGACGCAGCATTCCCACATGGCTGACCGCAGTTCAAGTCCCAGACCTCGTGGCCTGAAAGTTATGCTGGATGCATGCACGTGTGTGCCCACAATTAGGAGGAGAGTGGAGAAGGGATTGCGGCCGACTGTCCACCTTGGGGCGCGATTTCTCGCTTTCATGTTCCCTGTCTGTTCTCCAGCCAGTGCACATACCTTATGCAAAACAAAATAAAACAGAAAAACACTAAAGAAAAACAACTAAAAGAACGTGTGTAGGTACATACATGCACACACGTGTGCTCACGCACACACACACACCTACCTTCCACTGAACATAACCACTGCATACCTTATGCAAAACAAAATAAAACAGACAAACACTAAAGAAAAACAACTAAAAGAACGTGTGTAGGTGCATACGTGCACACATGTGTGCTCACACACACACACACCTACCTTCCACTGAATGTAACCACTGTTCACAATTGACTGTGCTCTCTTCCAGGGAAGCACGAGAGGCTGTGTTAGGCTTGCGTATATCTTACATGTTTTGTTTCTACAAAAGGGATTATTTTGTGCTTTTGAATAGGGTTTTCTTATTGCCCCTCTAGTGCTTTTTCCACTCTCACATGACTGTGTTGATCAGGATCCCTTCCCAGCGATCGGCGACTTAGCGCCAAGGGTAAACGCCAGCCTGGTCGCATAGCCTGAGTTTCCATGTCTTAGAAGGACACAGTCCCTGTTTTTTCTCTCATAGGTAATGCGGAAATCTCACGAAGCCCGAGAAAAGTTGCTTCGCCTAGGAATTTTTAGACAAGTGGATGTTCTGATTGATACATGTCAAGGTACGTGTTATGGTGTGTTTTTATGACTCACTTTCCATCTGTCCTCCATGGTCACAGAAGAGCTGTTTGCATAGCTGAATGGAGATCGCGGCGGAGGGCTCACCTGACAGGCAGGTCTCGGTAGTTGGTCTCTGGGAAGGAGCTGAATTTTATGTCAGGCTGAGGGAAGAATGGCGAACTCAGATGATACTGTGGTCCGAGCCCCTTGTCCCTACACTGGGACTCAGAGTGATGCTGGTGTGGGAGCCAGACTTCATTTGGCATACGGCAACCCAGTGGTGAACAAGCTTTGGACAGACTCCACCTAAACGTGGAATCAGATTTCTGCTTTGGTTTTTGCTCATTTTCTCGTTTGCTGTGTGCTTTTGGGCCCGTTTCTCAACTTTGTCAACATTTCATTTTTGCTGGTGACTGGCTGCTACGAGGCAGCCGTGCAGAGCCCAGGAGAGAGGGGCCAACAAGCATAGACCCCTCCTTGAGCAGCTGACCTGGGGACCCAGCAGTCGGTGATGACAGTGCAGATGATGTTCTGTGCTGTAAGGTGGGCTGAAGGAGGAACTTTAGCTTCGTCTGACTAGGGGGCAGGAGACGAGGATCAGAGAGGGCTTCCTGGAAGGGGCGACTTATATTTTGAGACCAGAAAGATGCTTGTGAGTGAATTTGGGGAAAAGGGCTGTTATCGAGGGGAGGGATAAAGAATATTCCAGGGGGAGGGGAGCATTTACCAGACCGAGTGGCCAGAGGGAGAGTGGTTCGTAGGGCAGGCCAAGTGTCTGTTGAGCTGGCATGCAGATTCGGGGGCCAGGAGTGATGGAGAAGTCAGGTAGAAAACTAAGCGGGAGAGCAGATTGTGGTGGACCCACCTTGCCAGAGTAGAATTCGGGCTTTGTTCTATATTCAGCAGACATTGTTGGGAAATAAATAGTTTGAATGAGTCAGTGGACAAGAGAATGCTTCAGAATTGAATGGGGGATGATTCTGAGAAGACCCAGGTGAGACAGTATATGAAAACGCTTGCAAAATGTGAAGTGGTCAGCCAACTAAGGGCATTCTTCCCATCCGATACGTGTTCAGCTGAAGCTGAGGTTCACAGTAATAGCGCCCTAAGCAAGAGAGAGGTCTTTTTTTTTTCTTTTCTCTTTTTTGGGAGAGGTTTTTTGCTATAGGGCGCATGCGCTCGCCAGACAGACAGAGAGAGACAGAGAGATAGAAAGCGAGAAATCACCCCCCAGGGGGGATAGCCATGCTGCAATCCCCTCTCCTCCATTCTCCTCTCGGGATCTTGGGCACGCACGCACACGCGCCTGGCATGAGTTTAAGCCACCTGGTCTGGGACTCGAACCATAGTCGACTACGTGGGAGTCCAGCAACATAGCCAATACGCCAACTGCTGGTCCCTTTGCATTTCTCCATGCGCTGGGGGACTGTCGAGGGCCAGTGAGGTAGCCTTGCTCCTCCAAGTCACCCCAGGTTGGTGTGGTTTTGCAGGGGTCTTATTATGCTGTCATCACTGGGATCCCCTTATTCCTTGATGGCCAGGTACCACACCCTGGTTCTAGCATCAGGAGGGTAAAGGGCATATCCCTCCCATGAGCACTTGTCCTGGATATGGTACTCGGCACTACCTTCTCATCCTATTGGCCAGGATTAGTCACACGACCACACCTATGTGCAAGGGAGACTGGGAAATAAAGTCTGAGTGGCCACGTCCTCAGCTAAAAATCAAGGCTTCAAGTCTGCATAGAACAGTGGTTCTCAGTGTGAGGGTCAGCAGAATTGCTATCCCTGGTAACTTGTTAGAGACCCAAAGTCCACTGAAGCAACCTTGAGGGTGGGGGCTGTGACCTGCACATAGCGAGTCCTCCGGGCGATCCTGGTGCATGGCGAGGTGTGCAACTATGGGGCCAGGAAAAGGGGAGAAGAGGGGGGCAGCCCCTCTGCACCCTGAGAGCAGCAGGATGGTGCTACCTGTGGGCACCGTGGCAGGTGACAATGCACAGTCTGCTTGGTAGGTGATGGTCACTGTTTTGTGTGTGTGTTTTTAAAGTTTTGCCATAGGACAGGTGTGCTCACCAGAGAAAGAGAGAGGCAAAGTGAGAAAGTACCCTCGAGGGGGATGGCTGTGCCAGTCTCCTCCATTCTCCTTTTGGGATTCTGGGCGCTCTCGCACATGTGCCTGCTGTGATTTTCAACCCACCAGGTCTGAGACTCGAACCGCATTTGGCCGTGTGGAAGTCCAGTGCCTTAACCACCACACCACCTGCTGACTCCACAATCACTAGTTTTAAAAGTGTTTTTCAGGGAATGAAACCAAAGCCCAGAGATGTCCAGACGAGGGATGCAGTTCCAGCCCCTGAAGCCTGAGCCATTACCCAGGGGTGCTTTTCTTGGGCGAGTTTTGTGGCATTTGGTTTGAGCTCTGCCCCCTGTGGTAATCATGACCCTGCAGGCTGTCAGCTTGTCCGCCTCTGTCAGTGCTCTCCACCTGTACAGTATGCTGGAGTTGGGACCGGTTAGGGCAGTGAAACAACCGCATGGAACTGTGGTGGTGGGTGCTTGCCATGCATTTGTCCAGCCCTAGTAGTGACCCCTGCTGTACCCGCGGACTTGAGTGCCTCGTCGTGTCTGAGTGTTGTCATCCGCTGTGGCAGAGCTTCCACCCAGTGTGAGGTGTTACACTGGGGAAATGCGGAGCGGCGGTAGCAAGGCGGGCTGTGGGAACTCTGTTTTCTGTGCATGTGAAACTGCTCTGAAAAATAGTCTGTTCTTTAAAGAAGGGAATGGCGCCAAGGCTGCACCCTTGACCTACTGCACCCGGGCACATGGGCGCCCACGACTGGGCACCCATGTGAGCTGCCCAGGGTCGACTGTGCCTGCCCTGCTCCCGGGCCCTGCACAGCTCAGCCTCGCTCTGCAGAAGACACGCCCGGCGCTGGGTGGGTCGTGGAGCTGGCGCACTAGCTCAGAGCCCATCACGTCCAGCTCAACAGCCCAGAAGCTTTCAGCTTAACCAACAGTATCACCTTTCTTTCTCTCAGGGTCCCAAAATCTCTGCTGTCACATGAATTCCATGTACTAGCCTTAGTTGAAATGAGATATCAGATGTTTCTAAGAGCCTCCTCTTTGGAGAACAGACCCCTTCAGCAAATGTTTTTTTTGGAGAGGTTTTTGCTATAGGGCGCATGCGCTCATCAGAGAGACAGAAAGCAAGAAATCGCCCCCCCGAGAGGATGGCCATCCCACAATCCCTTCTCCATTCTCCTCTTGGGATCTTGGGCACGCACACACATGCACCTAGTGTGAGTTTAAGCCACTGGGTCCAGGACTCGAACTGTGGTCAACTATGTAGGAGTTGGCCATTGACATAGCCATTATGCCAACTGTTGGTCCCCCTTTAGCAAGTCTTGTTTGTATAACCAGATAATACTGCAGCTCTGTTTGTGTCAGGGCTTGACTGTTTTTTCATACATGGTGCCATGGAAGCTAGAAACAGGTTTTTATGTAGAGGTATGTTTTGATTTTGTGTGGGAGTGTGCTTATGCTTTAAAACAGAGGCCGGCTTTTCCAACAGAGATGGTAAAATTGAATGAACCTTCAGATCGCTTTTGTCTTTTTAAGCAATGAAACCCAAAACCAAATGGCATGTTCTGGCTGGCTCATCGGTCACTCCTTTTTACTCACTTAGGAGACGATGCACTTCCCAACGGCTTAGATGTGACCTTCGAAGTAACTGAGCTGAGGAGGTTAACGGGCAGCTACAACACCATGGTCGGGAACAATGAAGGCAGTATGGTACGGTAGAGTTCTTCTTTCAGAGTCGTTCTAAAAGCTGATGCGCAGGTCCACAACTCTTCTGTCTTTCATGCACCCTGGCTGCTGTTATTGTGGTCTCTCTTTCATCGCTTTGGAACTGACTAGCATGTGTTTTGCATTGGTAACAGTATCACATCAGTGATGGAGAATGGTCTGAGAACTGTTAGTACTAACAGACTTGTTCGAATCCCTTCCACCTTTGAATCCATACAGTGTATGTTCTTGAGCCTCATTGTTGGGGAGGTTACCCCATCCCTCACGTTGCTCAGATTTGTGTGTTGGATATGGCCCCTCAGTAAAGGCACGTGGTAAGGAGAAAAGCAATTACAGATGCCTGGTGTGTTTTCCAGGCCTCTGAATCTGGGACTTGAACCATGCTGTCGGCCATGTGGGAGCCAGCTGCCTTAACCACGAAAGTACCCACAGGCCTGCCCTTAGCCTTTATTAAAGTTATCATTCCTTCAATTTAGACCAGTGCTTTTTTTCTTTGCTCCTAGGTACTTGGCCTTAAACTCCCTAATCTTCTGGGACGTGCAGAGAAGGTGACTTTTCAGTTTTCCTATGGAACAAAAGAGACTTCGTACGGCCTATCTTTCTTCAAACCACAACCCGGAAACTTCGAAAGAAAGTAGGAAGCACAGTGGCGTGTTGGGTCCAGTGGCCTGTGTAACAGTAAAGTAGATGGCTTGTTGGTGACGAGAAACCATGCGAATCAGCTGGCACTTGTGCAGCGTGACACTGTAGATTCCCTCTTGCAGATGAGCCCCAGTGGTGTGGTTTCAGTCTGTTGATTTAAATGTGTGCAAGTTCTGATCCCGCCTTCAGCCTTTAAAGCTCTATCCCATTGTCTCCTAGTTTCTCTGTAAACTTATATAAAGTTACTGGCCAGTTCCCCTGGAGCTCACTTCGGGAGACAGACAGAGGAGTGTCAGCCGAGTACAGTGTAAGTAACGTCTCAGTCATCCCCGAGGTGGGTCTGCGTGGGAACAAAGGGCCTTGTTGATTCCCAGAGACAGCATGAGGGTGGCAGGGCGAGCATAAGCCCTTTATCTCGCTGCACCTGCCAGCTGCCTCTCGCCTGGGTGCCTCTTCTCCAGCAACGTGTAGCCAGAGCGGGGGGCCAGAGAGTGGCCGATGTCATGGTGGCAGTTCCTCCTACCTCCTCTTGGCCGAGAGCCCTGTCTCCTGCCGAGTGTGAGCCAGAGAGTGGGGCCAGGGTGTGGCTAATGTCTGTGTTGGCAATCCCCACACTTCCTCCTGGCCGGGATCCTTCTCCTACCAGGTACAGGGCTGAGAGTGGGGCCAGGGAGTGGCTGATGTCACGATGTCAGCTCTTCCTGCCCCCTCCTGGCTGGGAGCCCTTCTGCAATGTACAGGCCAGAGGGGGGTGGTGGGGTGGTCTGAAGTGATAACTCCTCCCACCTGCCCAGTTTCTTTGTGTTCCTGACTTCCTGTGGCACCGTCTGTCTGTCCTTCCACATGTGTGTGAAGATCCATTGTTTCTGATAGCCAGCAAAATTGCCTCAGATCAGTGGAAGGTTTTAGTATCGATTCGCTCTCAGGTGTACTCTAGAAGGATGTGACAAGGTGCGGCAGGTGGAATTAGTAGCACATGAGCATGCATCTGGCTTTGCTCTCGCTTTTCTCTCCACGTTCCTCTCCCCGCTGTTCTGGGATCGAGTTAGTGAGCACAGGCCTTGGACACAGAACTGGCCAAGAGTGGTTCCCCAGGCGCGGGCTTCGTGCCACCAGCATCAGCCTTACCCTGGGGGTGTTAGGAATGCAGAGTCCTGGGCCCAACATTGAGCTGCTGGGCTAGACTCTCCTGGGGGGGAAGGTGCCCAGGGGGCTCTTTCCCAGAATCCTTCTCACAGCCCTGGAAGCAGGTCGCCTGGGGTGACTCCCCTGTGCCCCCACAGTTGAGGAAAGTGATTCCTTTATGAAGGGAAGGTGATGGTGATGGGGTCTCACAGGGCTGGCGTGAGGATTAACTTGCCAGTGCTCAGGCGCTGAGTTGTGATGGCCACCACGCTGCCCATCCTTGCCGACCCAGGTCGTGTATACTCTCAGCACGTCCAGGCGGCCCATTGGCCGTGGACCAGCCCTGTGAGAGCGTGCAGGCAGACCGTTAT